GTGCCAGAGGCTGATGCCACAGTGTGGCTGCTGTCAGTGCCAGGCAGTTGTCTGGAATGCAAGGGCACACACACCTTATGCAGATTCTGGATATGCAATAATTAAGCCATGTGCCTTAATTAATCTCTTCTCACTTCCTTTTGAACTTGGAGCCTTGATGAGGTTATGTACAATCATAAACTCAGGGAATAGTTCTCAATTTTATGTCGATCTGGTGTACAAAAGAAAAGGGAAAAGGGAGAAGAGCTCCATCTCCAAGAAACTGGCAGGAACAGCCTCCGTGATAAACAGTTGCTCCTGCAGCACACTATATTCTCCTAAAGGCATGTTGGGTCAGCTAAAGGTCTGCAGCATCTGAGCTGGGAGATCCCTCCAAAGAGGAGGGATTTGACTGTAAGTGGGAGGTTTTAACCCTAGGCACCATTTATTTGCATGTTTCTGCCTGAAACTAGCATTTTGGGAGCACATTTAACAAGCACAATATATTCCATGCGCTTGCTGGAATAAACGGTGCATATAAGCTTCCTCAGATCTGCAGTCAGCAGGGAGCTGTCTGGCTCATGATTTTACACATTCCTGCATCTAACTGAGACATTCTGATGCCAAATCCAACACTCCACTGGCTGCACCGTTGTGTGCATTTTAACACACCTTAGCAGCATCTGTGTTGGAAGCAGTGAATGAATCCCACGGCAGAGCTGAGCTGGATCTCTGGGATCAGGCAATGCTCTGCCTGTTGGGAACTGCTGCCCAAAATTCCAGCACAGGACAGGAGGCAACTGTACTGATCCTCTGAAATACAACGTTACCTGCCAGGGAACAGGGAATCTAGATTGCCACAGGTTGTCCTGAAATTAGGCCCAAGGCATTCAATGTCCTCAGACACAGCAAATACAGATTGCAATGGGGATGAATTGAAAGAGGGAAATTGAGATTAGATATTAGGAAGAAGTTTTTTCCCTGTGAGGGTGGTGAGACACCGGCACAGGTTGCCCAGGGAGGCTGTACAGCCCAGAGCAGCTTTTGTCAGTAAATTTATGCAAACCTAAAAAAGGAGTTTACAAGGGAAACACTGACAGAACTGGAGCTGTACCAGAACCAGTTAGTGCTTACTGGGCTGGATGATGAGGTAGTGAGGCTGGAACACACCTCTGTGGATTTGACATGGTGGTGACAGTTGCTGGAAGTTTTGGCAGCAAGAACTGGGCCTGGGTGGAGAAAATGATTCCTAGAGAGTGTGGGGGGAGCCCTGGGGCAGGGGATGCCTTGGAGGGTGCCCATGGCTGTGGGGTGAGCTCAGGGTTTGGGTGGCAGGTGGTGCAGCAGGTACAGTCTCTGTGAGCAGCCTGGACCACTGAACACTCCCTTCAGGTGCCAGAATTGCATCTCCTTGCACTTAGAGCTGCTGTTTGTGCAGGATTTCGGGTGTCCATGCTCAGGTTGGGTTTTTGGACTGATCTGTAGTTGCCTGTGCTCTTCTCTTACCCAGAGGACACAGATGAGAAATTCCCCAGATGCACATTCTAGATGAAAGGTTTGGTGGTTACTGTGTTGAGCGTGGGGTTTGTCCTTGTTGGTTTTTCTGTCAGGAAAAGTTGCTGCATTTGCTGAAGTTGTTTCATTGTGAATAGCTTTCTGGGCGTGATACTGAGGAAACTGAAAGATGTAAATTTGTAAATCATTTCTAAATCATTTTAAAAGGGGGATGGTTTGTTTTAGCAGAGCAGCATCTGCTGATATACAAAATTTGATGCCTTCTGAATTTTATTATTCCATGTTTTTGTCGAGGCAATCTGGGTACACCACAGGGAAATTTGTAGGTCCAAAAGGCCCTGAGAGATGAGTAACAGTTACTGTTCTTAGGTTGTTATTGTTAGTTACTGTTCAGGTTGAGGGAGTTGGGGCTGTTCAGCCTGGAGAAGAGAAGGTTGTGTGGAGACCTCAGAGCAACCTGCAGGAGCTAAAGGGGCTCCAGGGAAGCTGCAGAGGGATCTGTGTTAGGAACTGCAGTGACAGGACAAGGGCAATGGGTACCAATTGAAAGAGGTTAGA